TTTCTCATAGACTTCTATACAACCAGAGGAGTTGCCCCCTGGTGGACGGTGGAGAGAATGCAGCTTTAACACATGAAGCTTTGGCTCGTATTAACATATCCTCGTACAAATGTTGGTATGATATCTTATTAAAACGTTATTCCTACCTTTTCGTGCGTTTCCCTACGAAGGTCCAGCAACACGTGTCAATTTCCGCACGTGTTTTCAAAATAAAGTTCCTCCTTCACGGGAAACAACTTAGTTAAGTTTAGGAAAAGATGACGAAATACTTAGTTAGGTTCAAGTAACAAAAGTACTTTGTTAGGTTTAGGAAAAGATGGCGGTTTGTGGTTAATATAACTACTGAAGTGACGTTACTAATGTACGGACGTTGCGTGACAAATAAATCGACGTTGACTTCTCTTTTCACACGAGGAACGAACAACGGCCTCCTGAGTAAAAGACTGGTTTTACATGATTATATGCAAATAAATTTTTGTTGGATATCTACAGATGACAGCGCGTTGCTTTTCATAACTGTAGCTCTGAACGCTGTTTGAGAACATCCTGATCTCGTTTATTTAATCCGTACCAGCAAACCCGCAGTGCATAAAGAACAGGTAGCGGTGTTATGGGGGGTCATAGGAGGGAATATTTACCTAGTTTTCGCTCTTAAAAAAAAGTTTGTTACGGTTTATTGCTGACCTTTATCAGATTTACCTTTATGCTAAGCTAAGCTTGCCGGCTGCTGGTGGTAGCTAGCATAGAGACATGAGAGTTCCATCAATCTCATCTTCTAACTCCTGGCAAGAAACTGAGAATGTGTAGTTCCCAGAATGCAAAGCTACAAAAGCACATTCAACACAAACGTACCCTCATTTATTCTTTTCTGACAAGCACCGATGAAGCTTTTATATCTACATTTAATCAGCTGTTATGATGTCTGATGAATGTCTTTTCTTCCCAGTTTCTGACCAACCACGTCCTGTCCATCAATCTGAGCTGTAACCCCGGGAAGCAAACGTTGAGCCTTTCCTTCAAGCCAGCTTGTCACAGTGAGTACAATGATATACACACACCCTGCCTCCCTGTGACTTACCTTGCGAGCTGCTCATGCTGACCTTAAAACAAACTGTGTGCCACTGCAGTAAAGCTGCGTCCTCCGCCGCGACCAGACGTCAACTTTACCACCGTCTCCTGGTTCCCCCAAGTTACCGAGAATGAGGCAATCAAATTGTACAGGTCCGAACTGCAATGGAAACACGAGGATCAGTCGTGGATGGTGTGTGTTTATTTTGTCAACGATGAACTATTTGTACAAATGATCCATGAACAGAAAAAAGAACGACAGCCTGTTGATTTCGTCCTTGTCAGGATCCTTCTGTGCTGAAAAACATTTTAACAGCTGACGATGAATGGAGCTTCACCAGGGAGCTGGACGAGAAACGGTTGAGGCGAGGCGAGAGGTACGAGGCACGCCTCCGAGTGAAGGCCGTTCAAGACAAGGAGAAGTCGATCTGGAGCGACTGGAGCGACTGGAGCCCCGTTGCATCATGGGAGTCAGCCGTAGGAGGAACAAAAGAACGTCCGTCAGGTAAAAGATCCCAAATATGATGAAGTGGTTTCGTTTAACAGTTATAATTACAAAGAAAGTTAAAGGACTACAAAAAGACATGAAGAGACCACAAAGAGTCGCTACATGACAATAAAGAGACACAAAAAGACACAAAGAAACGCTCAATGACTACAAAGAGACACAAAAAGACACAAAGAAACGCTCAATGACTACAAAGAGACACAAAGAGACACAAAGAGTCACAAAATGACTACAAAGAGACACAAAGAGACACAAAGATTCGCAAAATGACTACAAACAGACACAAAGATTCGCTAAATGACTACAAAGAGACACAAAGAGACACAAAGAGTCGCTAAATGACTACAAAGAGACACAAAGAGACGCTAAATCCCTACAAAGAGACACAAAAAGACAAAAATAGATGCTAAATGACTACAAAGAGACAAGAAACCACCACGATGAGATTAAAAATTACCACAAAATGACAAGAAAAACTACAATGAGAACACAAAGAGACCACAAACAGCTACAAAAAGGGGCAAACATCTGCAAAAAGAGACTCTATATATGTAGGAGAGGTGGTGGGGGGACGTTGTCTCATAATCACTGTGTATAGGGATAATTGCATGAAACCTGACCCCCCAGATTTGTTCCTCACGGTGCGATAAACACCGTGTTATTATCTCTAACGTGATTCGTTCTGTCTCGCGTTTGTCAGATCTTCACGTCGGTATTTTGGCCATTGTCGCCGCTGCTGCAGCGTTCGCCGTGTTTCTGGTCGTCATTCGCTTTAAGACCGACAAATCCACCTGGTGAGCACACACACACATTTAGATTTTCTATGTTAGTCGTATGTAGGAGTATATTTTCTCTCTCGTGTTTTAAGATGACGTTTTGCAGGGTTTACATGGTGAAGAGAATGAGAGGGCCGCCTCTTCCGAACCCAGCGAAATCCTTCCTGCAGCATGTCGATTTCCAGGTGAGCTCATGACTCATAACTTGAGTTAATCTGTTTGTTTTTTGTATTTGCAAACAGACTATTATTTGCCTTCTTAGGCAAATGTTTATCACTGTAAAAACTTTGTTAGAGCGAGAGCACATGACACATTAAAGCTGCCACTTGGAGGCAGCAGAACAAGCTGTAAACAACACGGATGTATTATTATGTTATTATGTCTCTTTTGCAGATAGTTTTCTCCAGCTGTCCGATGCAGCTGGAAACAATGTTGTAAATAACAGTGAGACTGAATCCAAATTTGACTCTAAATGTGAAGCCATCATGTAAACATATTGATTAACGCAGCTTTAAAGAAAGCTTGACATGACAGCAGGATGTACATCTCGTGTAGAAACCAGACGGAAAGCAACGAGTCATCAGTCAAAAATACATGTGACCTTTATGATCTATTTAAAAGCAGCTTCACAACCTCCTTCTGCACAGTTCTGTATGTTTTTAACCCTTCTCTTCTTCACAGAACTGGTCCCCTCACTTCTCCGACGAGTCATTTCATTCCCACTTCAAACCCATGGAAGTTGTCTCCGTGGAGGTCACCTCCGCCGTGGACGGCGTGGCGCCGCCGGGCCTGGAGGCGGCGCTGCTGGAGAAGATGAAAAGCGAAAGCAGCTACGAGTCGACCAGCTCCAACTTCTCCAACCCCAGTTACTCCCATCTGTGTCCTCCTCCTCCTCCTCCTCTTCCCGTCTCCTTGCTCACCGCGGGGAGTCTGGTGCCCTGTGCCGCCGATACACCCTACGGGCCTGTTGGTGGTCACGCTGACAAAGCACAACAGGAAGCGAGAGGGGAAGAAGTGGAGATCCGCCTGCTGCTCTCCAAAGGCGGCAACGACAGCGAGTCCATGCCGATGGTCTCGGACTACGAGAGGGCCGAGAAGATCCAGGTGGAGCGCGCCAGGCTCCACAGTCTGGATTCGGGCGTGTGCAGCGGCGAGGAGGTCAGTCAAGAGAGCCTGGAGGCGGATAGCATCAACACGGCCGAGGGCGAGGAGGAGAGCGAGGGAGGGAGCGGCAAAGAGGTCGATTTTCAGAAGTTGTTCGGAGGCGGCGGAGACGTTTTCCACAAAGGGTCCATCCAGGTTTGTTCCGGATACGAGCAAGTCGAGACGCCGCAGCCCGACGGCCCCGAACTCCTCAGCATGGATTCGGGCGTTAGCGGCGTTGGCGAGGAGCAGGTGAGTCAGGAGGACGTTGATCAGTCCTCTGAATCCTCCTGCCTCCTGTCTCCTCCTCTTCCTCCTCCTTGCAGCTCCTCACCGGGCTTCCCGCCCCTTTTCACACCATGTCCGTTGGACCTCTGCGGGTCAGGGTTGAGTCCGGCTCTGCCGAGTCACTTCCTGGAGAGGATCGCTCTGATGTCGACCAGCAGGTCAGTGGAGCCCTCTGGTGACGGATACATGTGAGGAAGACGGGAACGGAGCGAAGGACAGACACTTTTATTTAATGCTTATTCTTATACTCTCAAACACCGGCTGGTTCCAAAGAATGTATTTTGTTTCTACACTGTTATATTCTGCATATTTATCGCAATATTTATAACGGATCTCATTTTACTGCAGTTTCTCTGAGTGAAGACAAAGCAAAAAAAAGTCAGTAAAAACAATGAAAATGTTATTAAAACAGAAACAAAAAAACTAGAAGCTTCATGTTCCCAATTATGCTTTGGTTGTTTCTTATACTTATAGATGTTTATGTCTCTCTCTCTCTCTCTCTCTCTCTCTCTCTCTCTCTCTCTCT